TTTTCCCTTTTTAGAGTAGCACATTTTTGAACCATTTTGCCTAATTCATCATGCAATTCTCTAAAGGCATCTAGCAAGTAATTGTGTGCATCAACCAATTCATCATAAGTAGTTTCCAAATTAAATGAGTCATGATTAGAAATTACCTCATCGTCATCGGCCATGAGGCAAAGATTAACCAATTCATTGAGTTCATCGTCACTTTCGGATCCATTTGAATCATCATCCTCCCATGTAGCTTGCATGGCCTTTCCTTTCTTTTTCCTTTCCTTTTCATTTTTATAGGCATAGCAATCGGATTTGAAATGCCCCGGTTTTCCACAATGGAAGCAAGTAGGTGCTTCTCTTTTTCCTTGCTCACTAGATGACCCATTTCTTTTGAAGTTGTTGTTCTTTTGGAACTTCTTCATTTGAAGGATTCTTCTCACGGTTTTGGTAATGAGAGCAATTTCTTCTTCTTCTTCATCATGAGGAGCCTTATCAATTGCAACTTCTTTGGTAGTAGCTTGTAGAGCTATATCCTTCTTTTGAGTTTCTTCATCTCTATCATTCATTTCTAGCTCGTAAGCCATTAATGAACCAATGAGTTCGTCAATGGGAAGTGTGTTAAGATCTTTGGCTTATTGGATGACGGTCTTCTTTGCTTCCCAATTCTTTGGCAAAGATCTAAGGATTTTTCTTACATTGTCGGATGATGTATATTTTCTTCCAAGAGCTTTCAAAGGATTAACAATGTTAGTAAAACGAGAGTACATTTCACTAATAGTTTCTTTGTAATTCATGGTAAAAAGTTCATATTTATGGACAAGCATATTCATTTTGGATTCCTTAACATGACTAGTACCTATATAGGTAACTTTAAGTTTATCCTAAATTTCTTTAGCCGTTTCGCAATCCGAAATTCTATTGAATTCGTCTTTGCTTAAGGCACAATAGAGATTAGTGATAGCCTTGACATTACATTGTATAAGCCTACGGTCATTGAGGGTCCATTCAATATCGGGTGTTGGAACATTTTCACCCTCTACTATCTTGGTTGGAACATGGTTTCCTTTTTCTATGGCTTTCCAAACATCTACATCTATGCCTCTTAAGAATGCTCTCATTTTGATTTTCCAATAGTTGTAGTCACTTCCATCAAACCAAGGGGGTCTATTGTTAGATTGACCTTCTTGATGAAAGTTTGTATTGGCCATGATCGTTCTCTAAGATGATTAATCTTTTTCTAGAGATTAGGCTCTGATACCAATTGTTAACCACTAATTGACTCTAGAGGGGGGTGAATAGAGTCAATGGCCAATTTTCGCAATTTATGAAATTTGTTTTACAACAACTATTATGCAAAGATTAATTGGAAAAATTAAGCAATATATAGCACAAGTAAAAAAAGAGATAGAGATAGAAAGATGCAAACAATGAACTCCGTGATTTAGCGAGGTTCGGAAACTCCTACTCCTCGGCTCAAGATCCCCCTTGAGACTTCCCAAATTCACTAGAGCTTCTCCTTAATGGTGGAGAGCAAACCTTCAAATTTGAAGCAAGACCTTGCTTCTTTTCCTTGCTAGGAGAACACCCTTCTCCTAAGCTTCTTTTGGGTCACACCAACCCTTACAAGATTGTAGCAAAGTTTGTAAATGAAATACAAGAATCTCTCTCAATAGATATACAAGTGTAAGCTCACAACTAGAGAATATCAGAATATTAATGAAGCTCAAGTTCTAGGATGAGAGAATGTAGTGATGGTTGAAAGTGAAAGCTCAGAGAAGAAATTAAATGGCTTATTGAATGCTCTTGAATGCTCTCTTGAATGTATTATTCAGTGGTGTAACTACTTCAGTAAATGAGCCTTCCTTATATAGACAACCGTAGCTTAATATGTCTGTTAGAAGTAGTTGGAAGACTTAAATGCAGAAAAGTGCCGTTGTAAATTCAAATAACGTAGAAGAGCCGGCTCTTCAAAAAATTGGAGGAGGCTCCAATAAATAGGAGGCGGCTCCAATAACTGGGAGGCGGCTCCAATTCACAAAATGCTTTCTACGACACACAATTTGGCTACTGGAGTGCAAAGAGCAGGCTCCTACATTTGGGAGGCGTCTCCAATCCTTGTGTAAGACTAAGAATGAAACACATCTTGTTTTGTGCACTTCCTATTATGAGAGCATGCATAAGTAAAGTTCATGGAAAGATATTAGGCCTTCTAAACACTGATTTTTAGAGAAAATATGCATGAACCTAAAAACTTGAGCTTCAGAAGATATTCAAATATGCTTTAACATTTAAATCTAAAGCTCTCACCATCCTATCTACCCTTTTCTCCATTCCCTGACCATGATCTTTTGAGCTTGATGAAGACTTGCTTTCTTCTTTGAAATTGTTTGATTGATCTTTGAAGTTTGAGTCTTTCTTTGATTTCTTGCAATCTTTGAGGCTTCATTGAGTCCATAGCTTGAGTACTTGAATGCTTGAAATGGCTCATCTAGCTCTTCATATAAGATATGAACTATATATAACTCAATGAAAATATTAGTACATAAACGTCATTAATGGTTTGTAATCATCAAAAATAAGCTTAACCTTTAGATAAAAATCCTTAGGCCAACACTTTGGACTTATTATTTTTTTGGCTACATTGAATTAATAATTGGCCCGATACATTATACCATGGACCCAATTCAATTAATTTATAAATTAATTTCTACTCCACTAAAAGAAATTAATTAAACTCCAATTAAATAATAAATAATCTCTAAGTCCATGTTGCATTTTAACCCCTCTATGCATAATTAGTTATCGGATAAATAAAGTCATCAATTCGATTATTAAATTAATATATTTATTTTGATACCTTTGATTATTTCCGGCTTGATCATAATAACACATTTGTTTGACAAAAATAATAATTTAAATAAATAAATATATAGAAAATCATTTTGTCTAAAAACACACGAAAGCTTTCGAATTTACTTTGAGACCAACCATAATCAATACAAAATAAATACGAGTAGGAATGATGCAAATATTGAAAATATAACCCTTTAACTATTAATTACATAATTACCTAAAGTGTCGGTCTATGGATTCCGAAGATTCGGCCGAACAAATCAAAGTAATTACTAATTAATAAAAGAGTCTACACTTCTATCATGTTTAAGAGTCAAATGCCATGACAGTAATAAGAAGCAATTGCATATGACGGCTCTCGCAATATATCTCAACCTAACGCGGATATAGTTCAAGTCTTAATTAATAATGAGTCCATCTATAATACACTGACTGTGAACTATTTATGATTACTATTTATATTCATGTATTGATCACCATCACATACATGTAAAAATATCGCTTGTAATCAAGTGAACACTATCAATTCCATAATGAATCGAAACATAATACATTGAATTCATTAATTGTATAAAAGCATAAATATTTCAGATATCTCAGGAATATATGTCATTTTAATCCAAATAGAAATTCGCTATACCAGGACATTCAAAACCCAACAGAGGGGCATCACTGTTAAAAAATAGATCAACTTGTATATGTCTGTCAATAGGACAAATTTCAAGAGATGTGAGTATAATTTACCCTTTAATATTCAAAGGATGATAACCTTTTATTTTCATTTTTTTTATTTAAATTTTAATTTGTTGTATATTAACACTTTGAAGAATTATTTACCAAAAAAAAAAAAAAAACACTTTAAGAGTTGTTATTCGGAGAGCATAGTACGACGAAAGTTGTAAGCTGTGTTCCGGGAGGGGGGGATGGAGTTATTGTCTATCGTTGGCCTTTATGGTAGAATCAGTTGGGGGACCTAAGAGGCGGTGGTTTACCCTGCGGCTAATGTCAGCGGTTCGAGTCCGTTTCGATCTATGATTTATCATTCATGGACATTGATGAGATCCTTCCATTTAGAGAATTAATTTTTGTAAGAATCTGAATTAATTTGGTGTTTTAGAATAGTTTAATCGAAGTATGGTTATTAAAATAACTGCTCGAATTGTATGAGATGAACATCAAGTTGGAATTAGATTAGATTTTAAGTTGGGTTTAAGTTGTTCCTTTGCTGACTACTATGGATAACATTTCTATTATGTCCAATTTTGCAATAATTTTTTATTTATTTATTTTTGTGTTTTAGAGTAGTTTAATATAAACTAGTTGAATATTCATTAAATTTTATGGGTAACACAAATTATTACTCTATTATTTTTTCATTAAGGTAACCCAAATTAACCGCTAGAATTGTATTAGTAGAGGGATAAAGATTGCCTTAGGTTGCATAAATAGGGCTCTCCTTCTATGTTGATATGGATCAACAATAACATGACATGTGTAAAAAAATAAAAAAAATAAAAAAACTGGTATCATTAGGATGTTTTCACATGTCATCCAAAAAAATTTTCCCTCACGCGTGTGTGAGACCTGATAGCGGGCTCTTCATTTCTTTAACTTACGATTCCTTCTCTCTTCCCACCAAATTTCCATTGATACCCACCATCTCTCTAATTCTAAAACCCTAATATTAATCATTTCTTTTGCCAACCGACTTCCACCACCTCCACTGCTTGTCACTCTCTCCATTCTCAAACCATAATCTTTTACATCCAATTTTTAGAGATGATTTAAGCCGCCAATTAACAAATACGCATAACTCTAATAGCATCCAAAATTTTAAGATTTATCACCCCATGTTGCAATATGTTGCAATTTGTAGCCAAATTGATTTTCTTAAACTTCATTAATAATAGGAGTTTTACAATTGTGATTAATTTACTAATGTTTGAGCCAGTTGTTTAGCTTTTTTTGCAATATGAACGAGTTGGAATAGAAAATATCAAAAGTATCAGCAAAAAGATCTAAACAATTTTTATTAATTATTTTAAATTTTTTTTAAATATGTCATATTTTTATTGATCACATCACAAGAACATTCCTAATTATGCAGCAAAGGCAGGCATTGTTCTAGTAGAGTTATTAGAGTTAACATCCGGTTGCTGACTACTGTGGATAACTACTGTGGATAACATTTCTATTATGTCCCTTCCACCCATTCTCAGCAAGTGTCTGCTGTATTGGAGAAAAGAGGGCAAGCCAATCCTTTCTCACCCCCTTCAATTTTTCTTTCAAAATCTAGGTTGTTAAAGGTACTGGAGGCAGATGAGGTCATTGCTATTTTCCTATTCCCATTCCTTTTCCCTTTGGGAGTCTTCTTATTGTGCTCCGAGAAACCGAAAGTTCATCATGATGAGCAATACTACCAAATTTCTATTACCCATGATCAGCAACAATCTAATTCTAACCCCCCCGCCATTAGCAATATCAGCAGCTACCTCAAGTAACTACTACCATAATAAAACCTCTTCCCCTCATCACCCAGGGCCAGTAGTACCATCAACATTGCAACTAAATGACAAGCCTTTGCTCATGAAGAGAAGAGAAGCAATTTTTAATATTATTGGTCTCGGCATCGTCCTCGTTGATGTTCTTTTACACCCACAACCTGTAGCAGCAGCAGAAGCCACCGTGTCGTCGTCGTGTGAGCTAACGGTGGCGCCTTCTGGCCTCGCATTTTGCGATAAGGTTGTGGGATCTGGCCCAGAGGCTGTCAAAGGGCAACTGATTAAGGTAATCTACCGTAGTTAATTGGAGTACTATGTTATTTTGGGAGGGAAGGATCAGTCTATCTGGTGTTTTATTTATTTTTATTTTTATTTTTTTCTGCCATTCACAGCTCAAAGGCCTCGGCTTGGTAAGTAGTAGTGTTTGATGCCGGGTGCCACCAATGTTGTTTATCTACATAGATTTTTGAAGGCGGTGTCATTGTCAGCCTATTGGTTGAAAAGTCTATACTGTTTATATAGCTTAAAGAGTAATTTTATCATACATCACCAAGGCGCTCTTACTGGACATCGAATAATATATATATTATGATAGTTGTTACTAACAGTTAACATTGTATTGTGTCTAATTTTGTGAATGGATAAATGCCTACTGCAAAGGCACATTATATAGGGAAATTGGAAAATGGGAAGGTCTTTGATAGCAGCTACAACCGCGGCAAGCCTCTTATATTTCGTGTTGGTGTTGGTGAGGTAATTCTCTTACACCTTCCAGCAACTGATCATTCAATTCCCATGTTTGGGGCAAGTTTTAATTGAACGGTGTTAGCTAGTTCCATATTTTTATTTTTCTCTCTGCATATATAGTAAACTGATAAATACTGCTGGAATGGGGAAGCTTTGAAGCAGATTGCTAGTTGCAATTTCTCAATTAAACTAGACAGAAAAGTAGCATTTTTCTTCTTTAATTTTTGTATATATGTATCAATGACATTTATACAACTTAAGACTTCATCATCTTAACTTTCACCTACTCTTCTCAAGGCAGTAGGTCAAGTGGATTTACAAAAGATTATTAATAACTGATTATAGAAAAAGTAATTGCTGATAAACTATGAAAAACTGTTTAGTTGAAGTACTAAAAAAGTAAATATTTGTTCCCGTACATAATTACTTGACTGATTAATTGAAATGGAATAGCTTACTTCAAAGTGTGTTTTGATCTTGACAGAATGAATTATACACTTTTCTTCTCAGGTTATCATGCATTTGTCAATCTAGCTACAAGCTACAAGCTACAATGATCTAAATTTTCTAACCTTTAATAATATGATAATTTAGTAGTACCTCAATTGATTTTGAGAAATTTATATTTTTCCTCCTTTTGAAGACAAATACTATTATTTTATATATAAAAAGGTAAACATCTACATTGCCCAAATCCTTTATAGTACTTAATTTGAAATTTGTGAGTAATTAATGGTTTACATGAACAATAACAGCACCACTACTACATGCATCCACAACCAAAAAGGTGTGTGTAAATTAGATTCACATCACCTGAAGTTTTATATCATCATACATGATGGTAGGAATGAACATAATTACACTTTACTCCCCTCTCCTGAGGTTCCAAGTGTGTTTACCACAATTTCCCTCCCCTGGCATTAAGTTGCCTCTTGAATGAAATTTATTTTATGGGCCACTATCAATATGTAATGGAAGTTCTTTGTTTTTTTCTAATTTGTGCTTCTCATGTCTATTGTTTGTTCACATTATCTTCTTTTCTCAAAATTTACTGAATAGAGCTCCAATCATAAAAGCTTCAGAATGATATCAAACCCTCATTTCTGAACTAATTTGATAGCCTCTAATGTTTAAGGATTCAACTAATTATAATATGCTCATAATTTGATAGCCCCATATCTTGTAATTTGACAGGCCATATCTGAACTAACTCAAGCCCACTGCAAGGAGAATTTTCCCTTTTGTTTCAAATTTCTATACAGAAAACACATCACATAATGCAAATATACTATAAACTTTATACCTAAATTGACATTGTCAGTCACTGTTTATTTGATCACTTAGTTACCTACCATATCAAAAGCCCACAAAATTACATCCCAAATATTGTAACTGTAACTACTTAGTTACGTCCTACCACATAATTACATCCAAAAAAGATTGTAACTACTTAATTACATCCTAACATTATAGCCTACATAACTAATAATAATAATAAATAAATAAATTAAAAAAAGAAAGAAAGAAAAATCCAATGCTGGCATCATTTGGAACAAATTGAAGAATGAATGGAAGAATGTTGAAGTACCTGACTGAAGATGGATAATATTAAATTTGGCTCCTACTTTTTGTGTAGGAAAAACTCTGCAAACTGAGAACTACGAAAGTGACAACCATAACATGTTAGATATGTAAAAAAAATGAGACTTTCTACAAAAATAACTACCATTTTAACATCTTACATTGTTACCACCAGTATGCTGAGAAGTTGATGGGGGCATTTCCCCTCCCTTTCCTATTAACTAGTTACATAGTTGCAGCACCTTTCAAAAAAAAAAAAGTTACATAGTTGCAGCTGTTACGTAAAACAAAATGGACAGTATCATGTTACAACCCTTACATCGGTTCCATAGCTGCTGCCTATTCACGAACCTCTTCCTGCTCCTCTTCCTCCTAAACCTCTTCTTGCTCCTCTTCCTGAACCACTATCCTGTTGTGCCCCTTACCAGGGGCGGAGCCAGGATTCTATGGTTGGGGGGCTGAACTTACAATTAATACAAGACTATTTTAAGCCAAATATATATATATATATATATATATTATCGATTATATTCATACAAAAATTTATCAAACCAACCGTCAGCCAATTTGTGAAAAAAAAAAAAAAAAAAAAAAATGGCCCATATCTAGTAAAAAATTACATAAATATGTACAAAAATTAATCAAAAAGACCAAATAATTATCTTTGAGACAATAAAATTCGCATATTATCAATTGGTAGCTTGACTAGGGTTCAAGTCTAGGTGGAGACATGTGTGTGAGTACCAATTAAGAAAAAAAATTTATTGGTAGCTTGACCATCGTATAACCAATTAACCTGAAATTAATCAATCAATTAGTTATTTAAAGAAGCGGTGTTTTTTTTTTTTTTTTTTTTTGGTTTATATCAAACTTCCTTAACAAACAAACAAAAAATAGACACTAAGACAATTAAGGAAAAATTTTAAAAACGTTCAATCCTAAAGTAAAGTGAATATATTATCTATTATTGCAATTGGGCTTAGTTTAATATAATATTGAAAGGTTTAAGGAAAAAAAAAAAAGTATAAGAAAGTAGTGTATTTTTAATAGAAAGTTAGAAACCATTTATAGTTAGAAAATATTCTGAGGGGGCCAAGTATGCATTTATCCATATTATGTTTCATTTTAGGCAGTACTAATAAAAGTTAATAAAAATTCTGGGGGAGCTATAGCCCCTACTGGCCTACCCCTGCCTCCGCCCCCGTCCCATACCCTTGCATATGCTACATTAGTCAATGCATGATATAGTTGAATGTAAAAGGCTCTTGTAAGCCACAAATTCTCATTAGCCATACTCCTAATTTATATTACAGACTGAATATTATATAAGTGGAAAGTAAATCAAATCACTGATCTTATGCCTCTAATAGGCACATGATATCATATAAAATCAAATTAAGATCAGATCAAATCCAATCCCTAAAGATACTCCCAATACAGATCAAATCCCTATATTTTCTCCCAATACTCCCCCTCAAGTTGGAGCGAAGATATCAACTAAGCCTAGCTTGCCAGTACCAAAGTGAAGAGCAGATTGTCCTACTAACTTTGTGAACATATAGGCAAGTTGATTAGTAGAAGAAACGAAGGAAGTATTAATAACTCCACATCGCACTTTCTCCCTGAGAAAGTGAATATCAACCTCAATATGCTTTGTCCTCTCATGAAGAACTGAGTCAGATGCGAGCATAATAGTAGACCAGTTATCATAGAAGAGAGTTAATGAACTAAATACAGGGAATCTTAGCTCAGTCAATAGGGAATGAAGCTAGAGGATATCACAAGTGCCCTGAGCCATGGCACGGTACTCTACCTTTGCAGAAGAACGAGACACAACGCTTTGTTTATTACTTTTCCAAGAAATTAAATTGCACCTGTGAAAAGTACAAAAACCTGAAGTAGAGCGACGGTTAGTTAAAGATCCAGCATAATCAGCATCAGTGTAGCACGAGATAAGAGGCTTTGGTGTGGATTTGTAAAATAGATTAAGTCTTGGGCAGGACTTGAGGTACCGAAAAATTCGATATACTGCATCTAAGTGTGAGGTCCGAGGAGCATGCATGAACTGACTCATAACACTAACCGCAAATGTGAGATCAGGTCTAGTGTTTGTTAGATAAATTAAGCGGCCAACAAGGCGCTGATAAGCAGACGGATCTGGAAGGTGGTCTCTAGACTCGGTATGAAGCCGATGCGTCGAATCTATAGGAGAGGAAGCAGGATGACACCCAAGCATACCAGTGTCTTGTAGGAGGTCTAATGCATACTTTCGCTAAGAGAGCGAAATGCCATGCCTAAAGCATGCAACCTCAATACCAAGAAAAAATCAAAGAGGACCTAAGTCTTTAACCTCAAAAGCCTGCCTAAGGTCTGTTTTTACCTTGTCAATGAAAGATGCATCATTTCATGTGATGATTATGTCGTCAACATGTACTAAAATAATGGCACAACGATTTTTTGGACTACAACGGAAGAAGCATGTGTGATCTGAGTGACATCAAGTGAAACCCATAGAAATAACTACATCACTGAATCGGTGAAACCATGCCCAAGGTGACTGCTTCAGTCCATATAAGGATTTTAAAAGGTGACACTTTCCTAGAATACTCCCCCTGATGCCGAAAATCAGGAGGAGGATCCATATAAATTTCCTCTGACAAATACCCATAAAGAAAGGCATTCTTCACATCTAACTGGTGAAGAGGCCAAGAGTAGCAAGCCGCTAAGGAAATAAGAAGGTGAACAGTAGTCAGCTTGGCGACCGGAGCAAAAGTGGCATTAAAGTCCTTCTCCGGAGTTTGTGTAAAGCCCTTCAGGTACAGTTCGAGGGATGGAAATAGCCGAGGTGGTAGCAAGGTAGGCTCGGTAATTGTGTGAAAGTCCTTGATAAAAAACAAACTGGGCAATAAGATGATTAGTCAAACAAGTCATTTTACCTTTGCGGAGAGCAATAGGCAAATAAGAATCAGAAGTAGGCGATGCATGATCTACAATAGAAGTAGGTAAGGTAGGATCTGAAGTAGAATTAGGAATAACAAGGTAGGATCTGAAGTAGAATTAGGAATAGCAGCGTTAGGATTACCTGTACCACAAAGGGACAGTGGCAGGGTAGCATGAGGGGGATCTCGTGGGCGACGAGTGTATACGTGAAGCTCGAGCTGACCCACAGGAGGAGATGTTGAGGATATAACTGGTGCAGGCCGAGCCAGGGGTGAGAAAGTCACTGATGGAGTAGAAGAAGACGGAACCTGCAAAAAAGATGTGCCGAAGAAGGGAACATCTTCGAAAAAAGTGACATCAAGAGAATGATATATCCGACGAGTATTAAGGTCATAACAACGGTTCCTTTCGACATAGTCGAATAACCCAGAAAAACACAACGAATAGCTTTATCATCAAGCTTTGTACGTGTAGGACGTCGGTCT